CCCCCCCCCCCCATCATATATATTAGAACGCTGTCAGACTGGGGAGCCCTGGGGTCAGCTTCTTTACAATCTAGCTGTCCTCATGCCAATGGGCTATTCCATGTACTATATAAATATATTTGAATAAAAGTGTGCTTTCATTCTTTCATTCAATACTTTCATTTACATTCATTATAATATAATAGATGGACAAGCTTTTTAATGTCTAAAACTGCCTGCTTTGATATTGTAATAGAATATGAAATTTTGTCATGGAACTCTACTAACATTTTAACTTAATGCTGTGTTGTGGTCCCATGAAATTTGTATATGTGGGATGCTGATTGGTTTAATCAGATTTGTTGAATACTGATTATCTGAGATATCTGAGATAAGATTTGTTGAATACTGATTATCTGAGATAAGATTTATTGAATACTTATTATCTGAGATAAGATTTGTTGAATACTGATTATCTGAGATAAGATTTGTTGAATACTGATTATCTGAGATAAGATTTNCTTCTCCTAGACCAAGTCCTTAACATAAACTTCTCCTAGACCAAGTCCTTAACATAAACTTCTCCTAGACCAAGTCCTTAACATAAACTTCTCCTAGACCAAGTCCTTAACATAAACTTCTCCTAGACCAAGTCCTTAACATAAACTTCTCCTAGACCAAGTCCTTAACATAAACTTCTCCTAGACCAAGTCCTTAACATAAACTTCTCCTAGACCAAGTCCTTAACATAAACTTCTCCTAGACCAAGTCCTTAACATAAACTTCTCCTAGACCAAGTCCTTAACATAAACTTCTCCTAGACCAAGTCCTTAACATAAACTTCTCCTAGACCAAGTCCTTAACATAAACTTCTCCTAGACCAAGTCCTTAACATAAACTTCTCCTAGACCAAGTCCTTAACATAAACTTCTCCTAGACCAAGTCCTTAACATAAACTTCTCCTAGACCAAGTCCTTAACATAAACTTCTCCTAGACCAAGTCCTTAACATAAACTTCTCCTAGACCAAGTCCTTAACATAAACTTCTCCTAGACCAAGTCCTTAACATAAACTTCTCCTAGACCAAGTCCTTAACATAAACTTCTCCTAGACCAAGTCCTTAACATAAACTTCTCCTAGACCAAGTCCTTAACATAAACTTCTCCTAGACCAAGTCCTTAACATAAACTTCTCCTAGACCAAGTCCTTAACATAAACTTCTCCTAGACCAAGTCCTTAACATAAACTTCTCCTAGACCAAGTCCTTAACATAAACTTCTCCTAGACCAAGTCCTTAACATAAACTTCTCCTAGACCAAGTCCTTAACATAAACTTCTCCTAGACCAAGTCCTTAACATAAACTTCTCCTAGACCAAGTCCTTAACATAAACTTCTCCTAGACCAAGTCCTTAACATAAACTTCTCCTAGACCAAGTCCTTAACATAAACTTCTCCTAGACCAAGTCCTTAACATAAACTTCTCCTAGACCAAGTCCTTAACATAAACTTCTCCTAGACCAAGTCCTTAACATAAACTTCTCCTAGACCAAGTCCTTAACATAAACTTCTCCTAGACCAAGTCCTTAACATAAACTTCTCCTAGACCAAGTCCTTAACATAAACTTCTCCTAGACCAAGTCCTTAACATAAACTTCTCCTAGACCAAGTCCTTAACATAAACTTCTCCTAGACCAAGTCCTTAACATAAACTTCTCCTAGACCAAGTCCTTAACATAAACTTCTCCTAGACCAAGTCCTTAACATAAACTTCTCCTAGACCAAAATTGCACAGACTTCAAATAGACAGAGGATGTCTTGTGTCCATTTGACAAATATCAAGATACTTTCACTGGAAGGGAAAAATTGTTATAGGTGTTGCTGTTCACTTTCATGAAAATAAGTTCTTTTCTAAATATATTGTCATCACATCTTTGGTTAGCAATGATTTTTCAAGGCACATTTTGTCTAAATTTTCTTCAGGACATCATTTTAGATGAAATACTTGTACAGATGTAGTATCAGTTAGAGTTTTGTAATACTGAACAGTAAGTTACAGTGTATTTTCCTAATTAGGTGTGTAGGGGTTGACATGACTGAAATCCTGCATATACATTGTACAGCATACTTTATAGTCCAGGGTCTGTGGTCTTGCAACATTTGTTGATTACTTAAAATAGGCTGCATAAATTACTTACCTCTGATTCAGCCTGTAACGTTATACTGCTGAGCACATGTGTTGAATATTTGTATTTCATACTTACAGAAAAGGCAAAAAACTTTATCTTTATGGAGGAGAAAACAATAAAGAAGGCATTATTACTTGGCTGAAAAAGTAAGTATTAATTTGTGTCCGTTTCCCCTTTTACCATTTGGTCTTTGATTGTAACGTTCACAGGTTGTTGGTAATGATATAGAGGATATTCATTGTTTTTCTATTGAGTGCTGTATGATTAAAAGAGTATTGTATTCATTGAGAAACCAGTGTTTTTTTCTGTGTGTTACTTTTTCTGAAATGACAAGATAACCATTGAGCTCAATGTATTTTGATAAAAGTATGAAGTGCCAATTTAAACATTTAGGGATATATGAGGAGCAAAATACTAATATTTTCCATGTGTAATTTTGAAGAGCTACTGAATACAGTTCTTTATTATTTTGCTATTGTTTGATTAGAATAGCTTACAAAAATGTTACCAGCTGTGATGATAATAACTTTGTATGAATAAGAAATTTGTACTAAACAAGTGTAACAGGGAAAATGCACATCCATAGTCACAATTGAGCCACCTGGTCTCGGACAATGGACCAAGTCCCATTCCACTACACAATATATATTTTGCTGCTGCTTCATCCGACAAAAAAACAACCTGCAGCTTTGCATACAGTGAATACAAAGTACATTTGTCACTGATCAATACTGAAAAATAACATCTTCACACTGTGACAGAAATTTGGTATCTGACACAGCATGCAAGATAACAAGTTTTATAAGCTAGAACGAATCCAATATCTCACCAGCAAAAATATAATAAAAACTAAACTCAGTTATTATACAAGTGCCTGTGGTGTACTATCTCAAAGACATGTTAATATATCTCTGCCCATCTGTGGTAATCCTACATTTCCCTTTTACACTGATGTACTGGCTTCATGGCTGATCACAGATAGTAAAGA